CAATCTTCAGAGCATCTAGATAGTTTTTCAATGTGTCCGTCACTTAATAATTGGTCGATGCATAGTTTGACTTTGGGGAGAAGATGGATTGGGATACGTTTCCCTTTCACCTGTATCGGTTTTATCGGCTCGTTAAAATAAGTATTAACTACGTAGTTTTTTGATCTACCAGTTCTTTTTATAAGGTCTGGAAAGTGCTTTGATATGTATAATTTAAACTCACGTTGGGATGGTGTCTCTTGGTTTTGATCCTGTTGGATGTCGGATGCGAATTTTATTTGATTGACATTTGTCCCGATGGGTGGTACTTTCTGGTTTTCCCGTGACTTTGACCCGTTGGGTGGAGGTTGTTTTTGAAATACTACAATACCCAAATTCGGTAGGATGTCATTTCCTAGTAGATTTCTTTCAGCCCCTTCTGTGATAAAAAGTTTTTGATCATTAGCCTCCCATCCTTTCGATTGGATTTTCACTCGAACTTTTCCAATAATATTGATCGTACTCCCGAAACCCTGGTATGCTTTCTTTGTTATCTCGTCCACAGGTTCTAGCTTTACAAATCTGTCTCGTATCTTCAGTTCGTGTAGTAGGTCTTTTTTCATGAAGGAAACTGGGCTTGCAGAGTCAATTTGGATCTCGGTATAGTAGGGGTTGAATTTTCCCAGAGCTACTTTTAGTGTCTTTTTCAATTCTAATCCTTCGTGATTGAATACTGTTCTCACTCCGCGCTCTATTTTGTCTTCTACGGCATTTATTTGGTTATCTGTGTCGATGGATAGAACTAAGAAGTCGTCTAGGTTAACCTCAAATTCGGGATTTTCCTGCGGGTTGGCCCGGATATTTTCGTTTTCTTGGGGTACCCGATTCTGATCGACGATGTTAGTTTGAGTTTTTGCTGAACTCCTACAGTGTTTAGCAAAATGTCCTTTCCGTCCGCACGTATTGCAGTTTCTATCTCTAGCCGGGCATGTGGATAGGTGTCCTTTTTTGAATTGCTGACCGCAATTACGGCACTTGTTATTTTCGACTATGTTTAATGTTGGTTCGTTCTTCACGTATTGTGATCTTGGTCCTGGGTTGTAAGTTGGAAATTTTAGATACTGTTGATGATTTTTAGTACCTTTTTCGTGAACTAATACGTAAGATAGTACGTTTTCTGGGGTCAAGTATTCAATGCATAGTTTCTTTTGGATCTCGACATTTCTCATGTTGGTTATGAAAATGTCTCTTACTAGTTCTGACTCGAGTTCCCCCAGTTTACAATTTTTTGCTAGTTCTGAAAGAATTTCATGGAATTTTTCTAAGGACTCATGTTCTTTCTGTCTTCGGCCAAAAAATTTAAATCTTTCGTATGTTAGGTTTGTAGTGATCGTGAAAGTCGTTTTTAATAGTTCCCAAAATTCTGCGAAATTAATATCCAGAATTTTTTTTTCCAGGATTTTTATGAGAAAAGCATTTCTGTCCTTCTTTCCCGAGTGCTAGGTATAGCTGTGATTTGAGCTTCTTGTCAATATCTCCTATTTGAAGTCCGTTAAATTTTGCGTTATCTTCCGCCCTTCTCCTTTTTAATTCTTCGTTGTAATTTTGTACTGCTACTCTATGACGTTCCTCTTTTTCGGCCCGACGGGTCTGATCCTCGGATGGGTCCAGTGGTTCTGCCATAGGGTAGATTAGTTCATCTCTTATCGGTGGGTTAATTACATCTTCGATGTCTACGGAGTCTTTCGCAATAATTGTCAGTTGGAATTTTTCCGCCCACCTTTCCCAGTCATGTTGATTTTCGTATGATGAGTTGTTCCAAAAAAACTCTAGTCCGCGTAGGTTTGATTCATTCGACTGCGCCATGTTAAAAAATTAGGATACCACTCGTGTTGTAAAAGAGTGACTTAAACTAAGAATAGATTAAGACTGTGGATGATTAAGATTCCTACTAAAATTGTAGGCTTTTATTTAAGACTAAATAAAAGACGGGGATTCTATCTAAGTTAAGAGAGGTTTAAAAGATTGAATTGGTTGCGATTGATTTGTTACGTATCATAAAAGATAGTGTCCAATTCAGAGTCTACCAAAAGCCGTTGCGCTTTCGGCAGGTATATAAATTAACAACTTAAAGGTCGATGGTAAGTTAAGATCAGAGGTTAAATAAACAAACCATAATACTTTTACAGTTACTGTGCAAGTAGAACAGAAAGTTCCGACCAGTCTTGAAAAATAACAGCAATTTTTTTTGCAAATAAGTGTCTTTTTTTGGGGTGGTGTAATAAAAAAATCTGGGTGAAAAAGTAGCGCATAAGCATTTTCGTCAGTCATTGTAAAATATGCTAATTAAAAAAAAAATTTTGAAGACAAATAACAAGAAAAACAAAAAATCAAAACCAAATATTTTTTTTTCTTAATTTTTTTTTTCGATTTTTGAAGTTTTTGATTCCTAATGTGGAGCTAAAAGCTCCAAAAACTAACTTCATTTGAGTGAAACTTATTTTTCAAGGTTTAAATTAAGCATAAATGAGCTAATGTTAGCCTGCTCACTCGCTCGAAATTAGGCGATTGAGCAGTTGAGTGAGAATTGTTTACTGGACTATTCAAGTTCATATTGAGGACTTGGCCAAGTACATATTTATGACTTTTCGCAGGGGCGGATCTAGGATTTTCTCGAGGGCGGGGGCGGAGTTTCAAAAAAATTTTGTCCACCTTTTTTTTAGGTCGACCAAATTGATTTTCTGAGCTCTCCTAAATCGCTATAAAGACCACATTTTGACCAATTTTCCTGCACCGCAGGCAAAATTTTGAAAAAAAAACAGGCCAAAAAAAAACTTTTTTAGGCAATTTTTGTGAAATTTTGACAAAAATCGAGTTTTTTCGGCGCGCGCTCCCCCTCAAAATTAGTATAAATTGGCGTCAAAGGCGCTTTTTGAAAAATTTTTGAGTCCGTCACCCAAAAATGGATATATCAAAATAGAACAAAGTGGGGACGCTTTAGGTCGGCAGGGGATCGAATTCCTGAAAAAAAAGGCGTCCCCCCGCCCCCCTCACCCCTAAATCCGCTGGTGACTTTTAGTGAGTTTTAGAGAGTGCTAATTCAGCTTTTTTTGAATTTTGGATCAGTTTCTATCAATCATCCTCTAAGTGCCAATGTTCATTAAAATTCACTATGAATGTTATGCAATGAATGTTATGCAATGTGCTTTCAGTGTGCACACGAAACGCAGAGAATGGGCAAGAGTCAAACGACAAATTGAGTCCAAAGATTCAAAATCATCGACCCAGTCCTCGAATTCCAACAGAGCTGAGACGGGAATACCAGAGGACCCCGTGGAACAATCAGATGTCAAAGTTGTCGGCTCGGAGAGGAAGAAATCTGCAGGTAAATTGCATGTAGGAAGTTTTTTTTGAATTATATTGCCATAACAAACACTGTTGAATTAAGGCAGGATAACTTCGGTTTAGAAGATGATGTTCGAAATATGTCGTGACATCAAATCTTAGATCAATTCTTGGGTCTTCGATGTATGAGAATTTAGTCAACCCTCTCCTTGAGCGAGGGGGGGGGCAAGGGGGACTCAGCATTTACTATTAGTATTCAATTTGCGAGGAGCACAAGTTACGCATACATTAGGGCCAAGAATTTTCGCATAGTAATCATAAATATATTGCAAATTAATTCCTGTTATAAAGTGTTTTGGAGAGGATTTGTGTTTTGAAGGGGTCCGCGGGAGTTTCAAATCGTGGTTTGGGGGTGTGAAGTGGGCTCGTAAAGTGCTGCTAGATCTGGATGCGGAGGGGGAGTCGGAGGAGGATGAGCCCCCCTTGACTGCATACACTCGCAGACTGAAGATGATGCACGAGAAGGGACCCTTCGATGACATTCAGGTGGGTCATTGGCACTATTTTCCTCATTACAGATTCTATCAATAATAATAATTTATTCTTAACTTCTGAGGTGCCAATTCTCTCCTGAGAATGGTAATGAGTTTTTTTATTAACTTGTCTAGCTTTTTTTTTAAATTTCAGTGGGCGTCATTAAAACAGAGTTTGTGGTCAAAACCATTCGAGGAAAGCCCCCTAAAAAAATTTTAAAATTGCTTTCACGTCAAAGATTTTGGTAATTTAGGTGTTTTTCTTCTTGATTGCATAATAAAACTCAAAAATCCATTCGATTGAGTTAACAAAAAGAAAAGCAAAAACGGGAACAAAATCCATCCCGTGCAGTAACCCACTGACAGGGCGCTCGCGGATGATGATGGCAAATCCCCCCTCCCTCAATTTTGGTTAAAAACATTTATTCAAAGGCGCCTTTGGCGTAATATACATTAAATTTGAGAGCGGAGCTCGCGCCAAAAAATTATTTTCTATGGAAGAAAAAACTTACCAAAAAGCTATACAGCGCTGTTTTTGGGCAGCGTTTTAAGAGCCTCTCCCATCCGTCACAAAATTCTAGTTAAAAATCAGTTTCTATATTCGTTTTTATCGATAGTAATTTCAATGAAATTCTCATGCTTTTAGTTTTTCTATCTCGGCTTTTATAACTCTTAAATTGAGTTGTGGATAATCTGCGGTGCTTAGGACGACGACTGGAAGAAGCAGTGGCGTCGCCGGGGACAGCGGAGGACATTCGGGGTGTTCTACTTTTCGCTGGCCGTCTTCGTCTCTGTTTGCATCAGTGTCTTCATCCTTCTCGGCCTCTTTCCCGTCTCCCCCCTCTCAAACTGCCACCCGTGGAACACTCCCGAGCCATGGAAACTCCAGGAACGGATAAATTCTTACGATTAAATTTTTAAAGATTGGAAAAATCCAAAGAGACGTTGTTCTCAGGCTAATAGATAAGCCTTTTTTTAGCTTCTAAGCCTTTTTTAATCATACCAACTTCTAGAACTTTCGCATCCTAATTTCCCAACTGTTTTCCAATCAATTAAGCTTTAGCTTGTGAGATTTTCATGAGATCTGCTTTTTAGAATAACTATCTAACCAAGTCCAAAACTTTGTGACTATTGGTTGATGAGACAAGATTTTGTAGTAAGTTCTAAGTTCACCTGTGATTCAAAAAAAATTCATTTTCGCCCTCAAAAATGAGGATTATGTTGAGTTTTGTAAATTCATTCGGAAGAGAAAAAAATTTTGTGGAAAATTATATCGGCGTTGTATCATTTAGGAACCACCAGCAAACTTGCAGCCTGTTCGTTATAATATATCGTTGCTCGTGGATCCCGACAGAAATCTAATTCCGGGAACAACTACCGTTTCACTTTGGGTCTATCAGTCCACAAAATTTATTATTTTACATGTCGGCAATCAAAATATTACGGCAGTCTCAGTTCGCCTTTATAAAATTGTTTCGCAGTTTTTCGTGCCTGATTTTAATTTTTTCGTAGTTGAGGTAAATCAGTGTTTGTTACCGAATGAAACTATTTCAATTACATTTGATTACACAATACCCTTAAATAAATATAGCACTGATAAAAACGTTTCTCCCGCTTTCTTACCTTTAGAAAACAGTCGACAATTCTTGGGTGATGCTAACAAAATGCAACGTATTCTTTTCGAAAATACAGAAAATGGAAGCTACTCTAGAAACTTCCTATTTCGATCCTCGTTTGGGTATGCGAAATATTTCACGCCTTGTTTGGATTCGCCTAAACACAAGTCAATGTTTTTGATTACTCTGAAATACCCGAGAAGTTATCAGCTCATATCTGATATGAAGATGGTAGAAACAACTAGCTTCAGTGATTCGTCATTTGGTAAGAACTGCTCGCGCTTTCAGATTCATTTATATCAGGGGGGGGGGTGTGGTTGTGATTATGTGTTCAATCCTTATGAATAATATAAGAACAAAATGGGTTTCGTTTTGACACACCATATATTAGTGTTAAAATTACGATTTAAATAGCAGAATAAGTATTTTCAGAATCAGCATCGTTTTTATGTCTGTTTAATCTGTGAAAAAATAGAAAAAGTGATGAAAATTCCAAAAAAAAACACTTATTTGACCTGCTGGTGTTTTGGACAGGGTTCGGCAATATAATTTAGTCAACCATCCCCACCCTAATCTGTCATGCTCACAACTTTTTTGTCCAGATTGCCAACGGGTGTTACAATATGAAGATGGTAGAAACAAAACAAAAAGCTTCATGATTCGTCAATTGGTAAGGACACTGCTCGACAGTTCTTCCCAAATGTCGAGCAGTTCTCCCCTGTTTTTAGGCTCTCGTGACTATATTATCTCACTCGTGCCTAATGTAGTCCAACTGCCCTGTAGTTTAAACTGTCCTGAGTTACTTAATTGAGCAAACTTTCATGATTGGTTGATTTCAGTTGTGTCGAAGCTGCATAGCGCCGATGACTTCATACCCATTTTTGAGACATCTTTTGCCATATTACATCAATCACTCTCTCATCAAGTGGTCGAATCGGACTACGGATCCGTCCATTTTTACGGGACGCCTAGGCTGCTCTTAGACCTCGATGACGATGATCGGCAACAGTTTTATTCGACTGTTCGTTTGATTTTGGATAATTCTGTGCCTTTTTTATTTAACGGATCTGAATTAAATCAGACAACGAAGTTAAATCTGGCTACTCTAATCACAATTGATGCAATTCATGAAAGAACTGGCAGCAGCGGAATGAATTATTTTGCCGATTTTTCCTTGATTCCAGAATATCGCAAGGATCCAAAAACGATCGACTTTTTTCTTGACATTTTTCAAATCATTCCCCGCAAGTTTGTTCAACTCACATTGCAGGCGCAGTTCGAAACATGGACCGAAATGTGCTTTCTTTCAGGTAAATTAAATGAAGCAGTTGTTATCTTTCAAATACAAAAATTACAAAAATAGCAAGGATAGCCGGTTGCTGTGGAAGTAGCAGAGAATCTTCCGACCGCAGTCTTAAAAAAATACAAAAATGATTTCTCAAATTGGTGTCTGCATGTTTTGATTTAAAAAATCCGAGATAAAAAATAAAACTCAGGCAAATTTGAGAGTCATAGTAAAATTAGTCAATTGGAAAACAGTTTTTGATGAAAAATGACGAGAAAAACGAAAAAAAATTGAAAAAACAAAATTTTTTTCAAAATTCTTTGCGGAAATTTTTTGAATTTTCAAGTTTTTTATTACCCAAATTGCGCTAAAAAAACTACAAAAACTACATTTACAAGAGTAAAATTTAGTTATCACGGCTTAAATTAAGTTTAAATAAGCTATTGCAATTACTAACTATCTTACGAATTTAGACCAAAAATCAAAAATTTCAGCTTTTCTCGACAGTGAATTTTTTTAGAAATTTATTAAAAACGTTCAATTCACGACTGAAAGAGCTTTAGTATGATATATCACTAAGTCTTGTCGGATGATTATTTCTGGTACCTGATTTTGCGAGGAAAAAAACTAAAACACACCGGTCGGACCAATTTTCATTGGTCGGAACAAAAATGTCGATGCTTCCGTAATTGATATGTGAAGTAAAAAAACATTAGCCGAATACTTTGCAAGCAATGCCGGATAGCAATTTGATCAACGAAATATTTGCCAGACAAAACTTTAATCTTAATAATACATTTTAAGCAGTTTTTAAAAATTAAAAAATTTTAGTTTAAATTATTGCATTTTCAATATAAGAGAGGTTATTTCTAAATTTTTTGGCTGGGCGATAAGAGAGGTATTTTTAAGTACTCATACAAGATTGAATAAAACTAAAGAGCAGATTTTTAGTCGTACTTTTTTTGAGTGACGATCAGACCGCTCTATCCCGTATAACATTTTTCATAACAGCTCGAATCAAGACAACTATCGAAGGGCTTCAATAATTAATCTCACTTGTGCCCAAATGGCCTTTATTTGTGATGCCAAAACTTACAAATTCTAATTCACTCACATGAATTATAATCATCGACAAACAAAATATCATGTGGCTTTAAAAAAAGTAAAAGCATAATTCACTAGCATGTGCAAAAGCTAGACTCGCTCGCAACATTTCGAATGTATCTGGAAGCGGAAACAGCAGATCCCTAGCTTATAGCTTATGTGAACTATAACACTCAGTTCTGTCCCATTAAAGCTCCCCTAAAGTTTTAAAACTGTTTTTTTTTTGGGGGGGGGGGATTCGCACTCAATTTTTTTTTGTCAAGGAGGTTGGGAGAGGGGTATTGATGTGAAAAGGCAATGGTTTTTGTTAACATCACCTAGTATCAGTTTGAGGTAATTTTTTTCAATCGATTTGAATTTTACTATAAAAAATCGTTAGTTGATACTTTTGTGTCTTTCTAAGGCATATAATTTGATACTTCAACGGTGAAATACTGCCAAAAACTTGGCAATTTTTTTTGAACTCTGATGAAGGTGTAATTATGTATGTATGCATCTATATGTATATGCATCTTATCTTCAATAAGTGCTAGACATTTTAAAAAAATTTGGTTACAGTCACTTAGCGAAGACTTTTGGCGAAACTTTGTTTTTTCATCCGATTTTGACTGCCTCAAAAAAAGTCTTGTGATGGTTCAAGTATGCTCTCGTTTGGAAATTCTTTGCTATTTTGCTATTGATTCCAATTCAAAAAGCATTTTCAGTGTGAACAAATTTGGTTTAATTTTTGTTTTTTTTTCGACTAATTTTGCCGAATTTCGAAGAAATTGAGGAATATATATGCCCGGGGTGTTTTTTTTAATTCGGACCAGTTTTTGTAAGCAAAAAGTGAGTGCATATGCGTATCAACTCGGATATTCCGAAAAATATATTAAAAATGTTGTTGTGCAAAAATTAGAAAACTTTCAAAATTTTTATTCATTCATTTTGAAAACAAATGTTAACGATTATGTCTAAATCACTAAGTTTTTACCCATTTGTGCAACTCTCGAATCAAACCACCCACTAAAAACGACACTAATTTTTAAAAACTATTTTTTTTAGTGACTATGGTCGGATCATTATGTGCTACTTCCACAGCAACCGGCTATCCTAGTTTATACTTAGAGAAAAGTGAGAAAATTTTAAATTCTATGTATATCTCCAGAAGCGGATTTAGGAAAAAAAAGGTCGACAAAATTTTCGAAAATCTTTCGAAAATCCGCCCCCCCCCTTCGAGAACATCCTAGATCCGCCCCTGTATATCTCATTTAAATTTTTTTATCTCATTCTTGAAGATTTCAATCTAATAGAGGATACTGCCATCCGATAGTGTTGAAAATAAACTAATTGCTCGGAAAATTTAAGATTCCTCTATTTAAGCTACCTAACTCTTAAACTGCTTGAAGTCAGAGTGAGTGTTTGGAAAGCTATGTGCTACTTGAATTGCACAGAATGCGACTACCCTAGTTTCTTTTTGAATTTTCAAATAAAACGTGAAAACATTTTTGATAATTCATAATAAAATTTCTTCATTTGGTCTGCGGCAGAACTGACTGATCGTGTAACTCAACTTATTTTGGAGCACTACGAAAACCGGGATACATATGAAGCCACTGCAGCAATGACGATAAAAGACAGAATGAAGTCTTTCGGGTAAGAAAATTAATTTGTCCCTTTTTTCTTCGTCTTCCTTCTTTAACTTTTCATCCCTTAAATTACCCTGGAAATATTCCTGGAGAAGTCGTTCTTTTCTGCTAAAAACGGTAGCGTGCGATAAAAATTTTGACTTGAGGGGCAGTAAGCATCTGGAAATTTCTCGAGGGGGGGGGGGGGGGAGGATTTTCAAAAAACTTCACAAGTCGTGTCGACTGTTTTTTTTTTATAGATCGACCCAATTGATTTTCGGAGGTCTCCTAAATCACTATAAAGTGTCATAGTGATTAAACTAGTTCACTTCTCGTTTAGTTTATGTTCATTATTCTATCTGTCAATCAACCTTTCTCTTACACCGGTGCTAGACCTAGTTGACAGGTACTAACCTTCGGAATGTTTGCCACCTTCGGAAATCTCCTATTTCAGTTGTCGCTTATGATCTCATTAGAAACGGTTGTTAGTTAACATTGGAATTTAACCTTACTACGTCATCGTTTTCAACATGGCGCAGCCAGCAAATCAAGGTGGGGGGGATCCATTAGGCATCATGTCCTTTTGGCCACCTAAATGCGCGGAGCCACCAATGCAGTGGAAATTCTGGCTGAACAGGTTCCAATGGGGAATGGTGGCAAAGCACACAATCAACCCCAAAAACTATTACTACGCATCGAGCCTTACTGCAGCCCAAGTTATCGCTTTGCCGGAGGAAGTTGAAGGAAAGAATCGTTTGGCATCTGAACAAATATAAATCTCAAATTTGTATTTGTGTCTGGGGAAGAAGGGGCAGGACGAAGTGCACAAAAGGAGCCCTAATTTGGATTTGACAAATACAAGATATCCGAGGGTATTGGACACGATGGAGGGTGAATTTAAGAAGAAAAGGAATGAAACGTATGAGGTATTTCAATTACTGTCACGCAAGCAACGTATCGGCGAGTCACTAGAACAGTTTCATTCTGTGCTTAGCGGGCTAGCAGCCCGGTGTGCGTTCGGAACATTGGAGTCCAGAACACTGCGAGATGTATTTATTGTAAAAATTACAAACAGAGAGGCCCAAAACGAGCTATGTCGCGCAACAAAAACGCCGGAAGAGACGTATCGGATCGCGTTATCGTGTGAAAGGGGAGATAAATACGCAAGAACATACGTGGTGACCACAGGAGGCACCGGAGGATCAAGTGCACAGATGGCTGGAGGACTTCAGATAAAAACGGAGCTGGTGGGCGTAATCCGAGGAGGATACCGGAACAGCCGAGGGCGCGGATGAGGACAGCCACAAGGACGAGGACAATTTCGGGGAGGTGGAAAAGTAAGCGAACGTAAGTGTTACAATTGTGACAAGCCCAATTTCACCAGGGATCATCTGAACGAATGTGCCGCGAAAGGAGCAACGTGCAATTTTTGTAAAAAGGTGGGCCATTTTGAGCGCACGTGCCGAGCAAAACGAAATAACCGGGGACGTCAGTCAGTGGTAATGATTCAAGGACAGATTGATCAGTACCATTACGAGCAAGAAGACATCGACGAAACTGGACAAGAAAGTTCGGTGGGATGGGTAAATACCACAGCGCCCCCTAAACATCATCATTATTGGGACTCGGACAGTTCGGGGGATTATTTAGTCATGTCGATCAGATCAAAGAACAGAACCGAACTAGAAGTAGCAGGCGCTAAATTGCCTATTGCGATAAATGGAAAAACGACGAGCGTATGGATTGACAGCAGGTCACCAATATCAATCTTTACGATTGGGGAGTTAAGAAAAACATTAGGCACCAAGGGAGTACATCTGAAGGAATTAGCACCAGAGGATCAAGACTTCCGGGATTATGGCAACAATCCGCTGAGTTTATTGGGAACGAAGCAAGTGCAATTAACGTCAAACGGATGGAAGACGATAGCAACAATCAAAGTGATTGGAGGACACCGCCCTTCAATAATTGGCTGAGATCTTACGCCGGAATTGGGACTACAGCTGATTCAAAGGACACCGGGAGAGCGGGTGATGGAGATCCATGGAGAGCACGCCGAGGGAGAAAACAACCTGGATCAATGGCAGGATTATTTTAGCAAGCAGTTTTCTAAACTTTTTACAAGGGTCGTTAAAACACAAAATGATTAAGTACAGGCGAAATTTTTTAAAACTCTGGTACCTATCCAACAGAAGGGTAGGCGTGTACCAATAACATTGCAAGCAGTGGACCGCAAAATAGACAAACTTTTACAACAAGGACATATTGAAAAGCTAGTTGACTGTTCGGACCGATATTCTGTCTCCCCAATAATGATTACGGTAAGAAGGATGGGTCAATAAAGTTAGCATTGGAGGCCCGGGAACCAAACAAACATGTCCATAAAAATAAGTATCAAAGGCCCAATATCGAAGAACTGATGGATACGGTCGGCCAAACGATTAGCGGAAAGAAATCGGGGGATATATTTTTTTCTACCATGGACTTAACATACGCGTACGGATAATTACCACTCGGGCCAGAAACTAGCGTACAATGTAATTTTTCACTGGTTGGGGGAAGATCGACGGGTACGTATTGATTTAAAACAGGGTTTTATGGTCTAACATCTATGCCGGTGGAATTGCAAAGGGTGATGGATTCCACACTACCGGAATTTCCACAGTCACACGCATTTATTGACGACATACTCATCACAACTAAGGGATCGGAAATTGAACATATCTCGACGGTGGAAAAGATATTGAAAAAACTAGACAAGGAAAATATGGCAGTAAAACTGTCTAAATGTAAAATTGCGAATCGCTCGTACATAGAATCACATCAACAGGAATAACCCCATTTATCCAAAAAACAGCCCCAATTGAAGCACTTAACCCACCGCGTACGTTATCGCAGCTTAAAACCTTTATGGGATCAATCCACAGCCTGCATAAGTATATGCCGGCGCTAGCAGAATCGTCGGCGCCGCTAAGCCCGTTATTAAGCCGGAAAAGTGAACATGTGTGGACACCGGAATGTCAGGCGTCATTTGATAATTTGAAAAACCAGGTTGCGGATATTGTTAAGCTGAAATGATTCGACGTTCGTCGTGAAAGATAATTGAATCGTATGTGACGCAAGCCACAATGGATTGGGTGCAGTGTTAGAGCAACTTGGAACGGACGGTTGGCGGCCAATTTCATTTGCATCGCGATATCTGAACGACCCCGAAAAACGATATTCGACTAACGAGCTAGAAATGTTAGCGGTTGTTTGGGGGCAGAGTATTTCCGGAATTACGTTTTGGGGCGTCCTTTTACAATTATTACTGACCATAAAGCTCTTGTATCATTATTAAACGGGAAAAACCAGAAAAACAAAGCGATGTTCAGTCGTTTAACACGTTGGTTAGATAAATTGATTCCGTTTGATTTTTGTGTCGAACATAAGCCTGGGGCAAAGATAGGCCTGGCACATTATTTGTCTCAAAACCCTAGCGACTTTGCCAAGCCCATCTCAAAGTATGACAAAATGTTTACGGTAGCGAAAAAAAAATTCTATTAATCGAACCTTTGGAGTAATGAACACACGCTCATTTGGAGGACCGGAAAGAATTAAAGCCAAAGCCTCAGTTAATCTTTTTTCGACCAATAGGAAAGCAGTAAGTACTGTACATAAACGACCGCTAAAGGGCCAGCGAACATGCGAAATTAATTCAGCCAATGAAAATCACACACGTAATGACTACCGACAGACAAGCGAAGAAATCTAAAAATTGTTGGAGCGGTTTCTAATTTAACCAAAGGCGGCAAGGAAATTAATAATTTTAATTCAAAATTTACCGGAGAACACGAGAAGATGGAGAAAACCTTTCGAAAAAAGAAACAATTTCTAGAGCGACATCCGATCATTAATTCAAGCGAGAGCGGAGATGAAGTGGAGTAGCTGGACGCAAACCCACAATTACAAACAATCACAACGGAAACAACAACAACAAAGACGAACACCATACTTTCAATACCTTCGGCGTTTCCAGGGGAATCCTTTCCGGCGGTGAACCCGACATCTTGTATAATGTCAATAGTGCCAAGGAATTGCAAAATAGTACAGAAGAATACTACCCTTCCCGAATTGTTTAACCTGAGGTTCATCGAGTCACAATATGCCTCAGATCCACAACTTCAAGCGATTTACGAGATGGTGAAGACAAAAGATCCAGAAATACAACAAAAGGTGTACACAATGAATCGTTACTACTCCCAATTCGTCAATGACTTTCATGTACGCGACAATATCTTATGGATGGACGACAAACTAGTTATACCGAACACTCTACACAAGGCCATAAACATTAGACTTCACTACTACCATCACGGGAAATCCAACATGTTTACTGCATCTAAGGACATTTGATTTCCGTGTATTCACAGCAACATTGCGGCGATGGCAGAGAACTGCAAAGAGTGCACGGCGGCTGGTAAGAATCTTAAGCATATGTGTAGTAAAGGAGATTGAGGAGCCATTCCAGAACCAAAAGAACCAAACGAATCGGTGCAATTAGACTTTTGGGGGCCGATAAGTTATTTAAAGGAATCGAAAAAGTATGTCATCGTAGCCGTCGACAGGTTCTCCCGGTGGCCGTCGGCGATGGTTTGCGGAAATAACCGTGCGGACAAAATTTTAAAATTTTTCAAGGCATATATCAACAACCACGGTGTTCCAAGGAACATTCATGTGGATCAGGGTACTAATTTCATGTCAAGGGACGTAAAAGCGTTTTGTAACGGCGAAGGAATCGAAATAGTACATTCCCCAGTGAACGATCACCGCGCGACAGGGTGTGTAGAACGGACAATTGGCAGCTTAAAGAAGTCACTCCTTACGTACTCACGAGAAGAACCAGCGGAACCCTTGGAGAAAATGCTTGAGAGGGCCCTCGGAGCGTTACGATTTGCAAACAACGCCACTCTTAAAATAACGCCATTCGAAGCTCACGACGGTCGGGAGGCTAATACAGTGTTAAGAAACCTAATCAAGAAGCCCTCATTAAGAAATCTGAACTGGCCGAACGCGATTAAATCTAAATCTACTTGTTTAGACGAACGAGATACAATAGTACAAGGCATACCCAGCCCGGCGGATACAAATTGGGGAGCTAGATCGGACTCTGAGTATGGCAATAGACGAAAACACCCTCTCCTGTTAACGGATCAGCAAGCCATCAATCAACAGGACGAGCCGACGGCAAGGACTATGGGCGAAACAGCGGGGCCATCGTTGTTGCCATCGGTGTCAGTGTACCAACGAACGGGCGATAAAAACGCTAAAAGGTACAGATTGCTAAAAAATAGTATAATCGCGGAAAGCAAACATACGTTAACGATCTGTAATGGGCATCTGCTTAGGAAATCTGGGGTTGCGGTTAAGAAATCGCCGGCGACAGTCTCCAAGCAGTCGAGGAAAAACGTCCCGAAACCATCAACGCCACAGGACTTGCGGAAAAAATTGGCCGCCGAGGGCCTGAATTACCCAGCCGTGCATGGGAGACGTTTCGAGCAGACGAACGACACGCATTCGGATGACGAGGACTATCAACCGCTCATAACGCGGAGAACGGCAACGGGGAAGATACCAGCATCTCGAACAACAGGGGATGGAAATTCGGAGGCGGAACAACAGCAACCGGAGCGAGCGAATGAAACGCAAGAAAAATCTAACGAGGCGAGCGGGCAGATTGAAGAAGCAGAAATGTTGATGGCGGAGCGATCCAACAGCGGAGCAACGGAGCGAGCGAATGGCGGAGAAATAGCAGCGAACGAACGACGGAGCGAGCGAACGACGAAAGAATCGGACTTGAAACGGCACCAAGGTGCAATCTACGAGCGGAGGTGGAAAATCCGAAGGAAAAGAAAAATCCGGAGGAACGGCAGCGAAACGAGAGAAAAAGAAGCGTTTGGTCTCCTGTTCAAGCCAGGACTCGAATAGTAGTATCGAATCAACAACGTCACGCAGGAGTGGAAGGAAGCGTACCGCAGTAACGAAAACGGGGGCGTTATGATTGACCACATTTCGAAGAAAGGAGAGAAAAAGTAGAGGACGAAAATGAAATTAAACTAAAAGCAAAGAGCGGAGAAGTTGGGGGAGAGGGCTGACTGGATCAGTCAAAACTTTAAACTGAGTATTTTAAATAACCCTAAAACATTCTCAGTACCTTATTTTCATACTGAGTCATTTACGTTAGTTCTTTCATCTCATGATTCATTAACATGGTGAGTCATTAAACGTTCATTGCAAACCTGCTGAGTACCTAACTATCATTAATTGTACCTATACAATTTCATTTTCATAAGAGGGGAAATGTCATAGTGATTAGACTAGTTCACTTCTCGTTTAGTTTATGTTCATTATTCTATCTGTCAATCAACCACTCTCTTACACCGGTGCTAGACTTAGTTGACAGGTACTAACCTTCGGAGTGTTTTCCACCTTCGGTAATCTCCTATTTCAGTTGTCGCTTATGATCTTATAGAAATGGTTGTTAATTAAGATTGGAATTTAACCTTACTACGTCATTGTTTTCAACAAAAGACCCCATTTTGAGCAAACTTTCTGCGCCGCAGACAAATATTTAAAAAAAAACTGGCTAAAAAGAGACGTTTTAGACACTTTTTGGAAATGTTTGACCAAAAAATCGCTCCCCACTAAAATTAGTATGATTTGGCGCCGAAGGCGCCTTTAGAGCAATTTCAGGGTCAGGCAGCCAAAAATGGATATCTCAAAATAGTACATAGGGGGACCCTTTGGGTCGGCAGGGGGTCGAACCTCTGATGAGAGAAGGCGTCCACTTCCTTCTCCCTTAATCTGCTACCGAAACACAAATACCCTGCCACCCTTTCATCGCCGCAATCCCCTTTTTTGACTCACTGCTCGTAATAGATAATGTATGCTCGAACTAACTTCACTCAGTGTTATTTTTGTAATGTTTCATTATCTCTACAGGTTCAACCATGATGAATGCCCAGCCAAGTATTCATTTTATTTGAGTTATCTGGCTCGAGATAGGGAACAAATATTCAATAAATGTCTTCTATACCTACAGAACACTTCTCAGAAACTCGATAAATTTCTGGGAAATTTTGAAAAATGTGTTTTTGAAGAATCGAATCTTCCCGAAGAAGCAACTTGCTCACTGATAAATTTGTCACAGAAAACGTCTTCATCAATTTCGATTATCAGTTACCAGGACCGAGTTAATAAATCATGGATCGATACTCAAGTCCATCATTTTTGTCCATTATCAAAAAGTAAACACGAATGCTCTCTAGAATATGAAGGTGACTTTGATCTTCAGTGTTTTGATGAGCTAACAAGAAAAGGTATGAACGAAAATTTTTCTCTGCCACCTCATACTGGAAATTCTCAGATGGTGTATTTACGTAATGAGTTTGTTTTATATCAATTTCCTGCAAACATTTATGATAATTTTTGCAAAAATTACAAAGAATACGTCAATTACTCGACCGAGGAAACAACAAAAGTGTCCTTTTTTGCTGTTGACATGATGGTTTTAGCTAAACACGCTCACATAAGCTTCGATTATCTCATTGAGTTTATCTCTCGGTATAATGAGCTAAGACCTGTGGGAAAATTATTCGACGATATTTACTACGCGTCAATCGGGTTCCCATATCTCATTTCCAGGAATAAGAATTTCTCAAATTGGGCTTCAAAAACTTACTCCGAGTTCCTTATTTCTTTGAAAGTTGATGCACGCCATTTGGAAACAGTCAGACCTTATCAACTGAAGTTCTTGAATGGATTGGCAGTTGGCGATTCATGTAGCCAAATCGAGTCATGTATGCACTATTTGGAACATGGGACTTTTTTGGATGAGCGTCATTGTTCGCCGGATTTAATCGGAGAGAAATTTGAAAGTTCAGGTGTGCCGACGGGTGAAAATTATAGCATTCGAAAAAGTTAAGTTTGCCCAAATATTAAAACAAAGTAATAAATTTCTACGAACAGCAACTGAAAGTGTTTCAAAACACATCTTTTTTTTGAAAACAAAATTAAGTTTAGAATAACCAGTTTAAGGGCGAAAATCTGAAAACTCCCACGCATGATTTGATGGATTATAATCGATTATATAATATCCATGACATTTGTCAGGTTTTTTTTTTGACTGTTTGTTGCTGTGTGACAAAAATTTTTGCGAAAAATTAAGCAGTCATAAGTCTTTTTTAATCGAAAACTTAAAAGACTAAATACCAAACCTTTTTTGTCTAAAAAATTAAATTGTTCATTTTCACTTTTCAAAGATATCTCCTGCCTGAAAATCTGGCTGATAAAGAGTTCGAACGACAAAAACAAAATTCTGACTTTTTTCAATAAAACTTTCATCAATAATTTGACACTACTGGATGGAGAGGGCTATGAGCAAATGATCAACACGACTAGATCTCTTGCGTGGGTCGCAGATTCCGACTTGTTTTTGTATTTTCTTGATCTCTTTGAAAAACGGACGATTCAAAACTGGACAGGTTCGATGGAAAAATTGCAGGCGAAGCCACGATACCTTCATTGCGAGTTGCTTTCAGAATCAAGTTGGTTCCCAAACAAGGCTTTATTAATACTTCAGTATTATCGAGTCATTGTTGATGAAAATGACCTTGAGGGAGATTTGCAAAAATTTGAACTGCTTAGAAACTTTCTGCACCAAAATTGTGCCAATTTTGATATCATTTTAAACAACTTTGAAAAAATTTTGCCTTTGAATCTGCAGAAAAATGATTCTTTTGATAGAAATTGGATTTTACGGTATGGAGTTCAATTTATGAATAATTTTGATCGATCACAAAGCACGTAAATTGAATTCATTTTTTGATACATTTCTTTTTTGTTATACCAAACAAAAGAACTCCGGAGGGCGCGCGCCGACAAAACGCAATTTTTTTATCAAAATTTTCCAAAAAGTGCCTAAAAACGCCTTTTTTCAGAAATTCGCCTACGCCACAAAAAATTTGAACTGCGCCGAATGGAGTCTTTATAGGGTGTAGGGGACCTCAAAAAATCAATTTGGTCGACCTAAAAAAGTCAACAAAACTTTCGACTTTTTTTTGAAAATCCGCCCCCCCCCCCTCGCGATAATCCTAGATCCGCCCCTGTGTTTAATTATAGCTTAGTGTATTAATAGTCAATTATTGAATTGGGCTGATAAAAATTGTCGCAATGAATTTTAGCACATACGAAACTTTCCCTGCACCTATGGGCGTTTCTGAGTACATCATTAGAGTTCACAGATGCACTGAAGAACGCTCTTGACCTGTTCAATTATTCCAGCAATCAAATCGCTTGAAATTAAACAAGCCAGAGCGATTTATCGACACATTTTTTTGTTGTTTTAGTTGTTTTTTATTATTGGGTAAAATGGGTAACTTTTTGTTCCAACTTTCAAAGAAAGGTGACGAAATGTTTGTTTTTGGGGTGTTTTTCTTTATCCAGACAATTTTCGACATTTTGATCAGCCAGTTTTGATGAAGATTTTCTAATATCATCTGAAAGCTATTGATGTCCTGAGCGGTTCTGGTGCAAACATCTGCTGTCTCAAATATCCGAACTGATATAATAATTATGTAAAAATATGACGCTAGAATTTCAAAAACAAGACGTAGATCAATTATCCGATTCCAACTTAGCCGACTCTCGATTTGAGGTAGATGGTGGGGGCGGTACTCGCCGCTTTGAAGCGATAACCGGCTATAGTTTTCTCACTGAGTCCTACCCTCTGTTGGACAGCTCGCAGCAAGTTGACGCGACCGTGGCGATCCGCCTTCAATCGACCAGTATAACATCTCTTAAACGAACGGTAGAAATCGGATCTTTGCCCTACTTTTTGAAAAATGTCGGATTTTTGCCCTTAGTAAAGCTGTTTTTCGGATGTTTGCAGCACTTTTTGGTTTTTCCGATGTCTTACATGTCGGATGTTTAAACGGTACCCGTTCTGAGCTCAAAATTGAAAAAAATAATCATCTGTTAACATTTGCGGAGTCATGGGGATTTAAGATTTGCCAATTTGGGATGTTAAACGCGCAATACTTTTCATATGTTCAGGATGTAAAATGTTTATCATTCAATATCCAAATATGATAGCAATGCATGACAAAAAATTTTCATTTTCAGCAACCATTTCGAAATGTTCGAAAAACTGAACCAACTATCAAAAAATGAGTTTTCAGCAATCATTTCAAAACATTCGAAAAATATGATTCCGTTGTTAACCGAAAAAGTGCTTGTCATGCGAAGTAGTAAAATTGTTTGAACAGCTTTTTCTATAAACTGTTTCGCTCCTTACAGTGGCAAAATCTTTTATGCTTAAACATTTTCGAAAAAAGATTGGAAATTAGCTCAGAATGCTCCGGCCACATTCATTTAAAAATTATAGAAGAAAGTTTTTTCGTTTTGTTTTTCAAAAAGCGTAGTTTTTGTACGTGGTCAGCTGATAAAACTAAATGAACACAGAGAAAGTCAAAAAAAGATATAAGGAATATCAACTGTCTTTGAACATTTTTTGTGCGCTGCAGAAAATTTTTCAAAAAAACAGGTCAAAAAAGCGATTATTGGGCAATTTTCGGAAAACTTTGACTTAATAAAATCTCATTTTTGGTGCGCTCCTAAAAAATTGATTTATTTATGCAGTTTTTGAGGAAAGTGTTCTAAAATTTTCATAGCCTTTGGAAAAAACAATGAAAAACTTATGTGGTTACTTTTCGGAAAAAAAGGGTTTTGTTTAAATAAAACGGATGAAAGTGAAGTCATCGTAACGTTAGAGAACTAATATTTGAAAAAGTTCTGCTATGCCACGTGGCTCCAAGTCAAAAAAATCTAAATGCTTATACTGTTTTATAAAGTTATCTATTTCAAGACAAATCTTTCAAAGTTCCGACATTCTCGAATGTTTTGAAGAGCTTTGATGAAATTCTGTTTGACAAACTGTGAATATTAAAATCCTAATACTGAATATTTTGCTCTCCCAACAACCGCTATGAAGCTTACTTTTCCATAAACATGGATTAATTCTTAAACTGCCTACGAACTAGTTCAGGGCACGGCCAGTTTGGCAATTTTCAAACTGTCATTTTTACTAAAAAACGAATCAATATTTTTTAGATTCGAACTCAGGGCGTCTGTATCATTTTTTGGGATATGAAGAAAACGTTGGTGAAAAATATTGTTTTGTCGCCAAAGTTGACCATTTGAAAAAAATCACCCCTAAAATTACAGCGTAATTTTTGAATGCAGTCTAATAAACTACATTACTTTTCTGAATACATGAAAAAACACTTGGTAATATAAAAAAAAAAAAATTGGACAAAACTAAGCGCATTCATATTTTTTTTTCTCTGAAGTGATTTCAAAACTTTTCAAGTACGATTTCTAAAACTTTCTGTGAAATTTTCAAGTATGATTTTGGACTACAATCAATGGGAGTTGGGACAAAAACTTTTCTCATACCAACAGTAAATGATCAAAGCTCTTCAAAAATTGCTTTAAAGGACTTACCAGTTTCCTTTCGGGTCTGAAATCGCTGTTTTTTACCATCTACACTAACATTTGCATCGGAGAGAACTCTGTATTAATTAGGCGGAGAAAAAAAATGTTGTGCTAGGCGGAGAAAAAAAATCTTCTAGGCTATAAAATTCAATTGTTCAGGGTGACAACTTTTCTACAATCGCACAGTTCCACGTATTTTGATTAAATTAGTGCAAATGGCAAAAACAGGCATTTCCATGCCCGGAAAATTAGTTAAGTATTTGAAAGTTAAGTCTAATGAGTTAATTCATAGAGGGTAGTTCTGATGAATTGCTTTCGGTCTATATAAAAACTTTGTTTCAATTCTTAAAAAATTATGTCGAAAATTATCCTTGAAAACAGACATTTTCGATAGTGAAAACGTAAAATTTGCGGTTAATTTTGTCCTTTAGTGTATTTTTTTCAGCGGCAAAGGTGGAGGTAATTAAAAATGCAAATTTAGTTGGTTTTTCCTGCTTGATGATTACCATCTTAATTAACCAAATTCAAAATATATTGATGTTTCTGTTTGATGAAAAACTCATTTGATGAAGAGTTTTTTTTCACTTTTTTAGTCAACAAAAAATATTAATTTTTTGAATTTTTTTGTCGTGCAGTAAATATTCTGAGCCTTTGTTGTTAGCATTTTTGGAGATTTTAACGTTTTGGTTTACTTGTATTTTTTAATTGCGCCGTGTGATGATAAATTTCCAATATGACTTCTTAATTTTTTTTATATTTCGAAGATATTTATTCCTCGAGATCCAATTTGATGAAATCATTCAATAGCGATGATTTTTATCCCGCTTTAATCAGGCTCGAAATGAACAAATATGTTAATCAGTAACTAAACAAATAGGTTTTGAGTAGTTTGTGATTGCCTAAAAAGCCAAAAAGATCGTTTTTGTGCCCAATTTTTGCAAAACAAATTGCACCATTTTAACTGTTAAAACTTTGAGAAAAATTGCTTCATCATTTATAAATATTTGGAGTATTTTTTATTTGAAAATCCAAAAATCCCATAATGCTTGTTTTAATTTTCACGTTTCATTAGTTTTCTCCGGATAATCTAAATCAGCACTGTACAGTGCTGAAAAAAATTATTCGGGCTAAAGGCATTGAAATTTAAAACGCTTTTTTTTCAAATTGGGTCGAGGTTATGTCAAAAATGATGAAGAGGAAACATTTTAAGAATTTCAGCAAGAATGAATATGGCGCAATTGGTTTTCCGAAATTGGGGTTCAAAATGTTAGCACAAAAAACGATCATTTTTGGCTTTTTTAGTCAATCAAAAGTTACGCCTAAACTACGACTGACATGGTCGATCACTGGTATTATTAGATGTGCGAGAGCCTCTTACCTAGCCGAACAAACTTGAAGAAAGAACAAGACTGCTCGTATACAAGGCGAAGCCCTGAATGTTCCGACTGCCCCTTAATCTATATCGAATAGTTTTTGGGAAAAGAAAGTTTTCAAAAAAAACTGTAAAATTTGGGCAATATCAGATCGAAAGTAAAAAATTGAGTCGTACGAAATTAAT